GCACATAGCCCCCCTGGAGGTCCAGGCCTTCCCCACACCTAACCTTAACCCCCATGGAGACCCAGGCCCTCCCCACACCTAACCTTAACCCCCATGGAGATCCAGGCCCTCCCCACACCTAACCTTAACCCCTACGGAGATCCAGGCCCTCCCCACACCTAACCTTAACCCCCATGGAGATCCAGGCCTTCCCCACACCTAACCTTAACCCCCATGGAGATCCAGGCCCTCCCCACACCTAACCTTAACCCCCATGGAGATCCAGGCCGCCCCCCACGCCTGCACATAGCCCCCCTGGAGGTCCAGGCCTTCCCCACACCTAACCCTAACCCCCATGGAGGTCCAGGCCGCCCCCACGCCTGCACAGAGCCCCCCTGGAGATCCAGGCCGCCCCCCACGCCTGCACATAGCCCCCCTGGAGGTCCAGGCCTTCCCCACACCTAACCCTAACCCCCATGGAGGTCCAGGCCGCCCCCACGCCTGCACAGAGCCCCCCTGGAGGTCCAGGCCTTCCCCACACCTAACCTTAACCCCCATGGGGACCCAGGCCCTCCCCACACCTAACCTTAACCCCCATGGAGATCCAGGCCGCCCCCCACGCCTGCACATAGCCCCCCTGGAGGTCCAGGCCTTCCCCACACCTAACCTTAACCCCCATGGGGATCCAGGCCCTCCCCACACCTAACCTTAACCCCCATGGAGATCCAGGCCCTCCCCACACCTAACCTTAACCCCTACGGAGATCCAGGCCCTCCCCACACCTAACCTTAACCCCCATGGAGATCCAGGCCTTCCCCACACCTAACCTTAACCCCCATGGGGATCCAGGCCTTCCCCACACCTAACCATAACCCCCATAGAGAACCAGGCCGCCCCCCACGCCTGCACATAGCCCCCCTGGAGGTCCAGGCCTTCCCCACACCTAACCTTAACCCCCATGGAGACCCAGGCCCTCCCCAGACCTAACCCTAACCGGTCTGGAGGTCCTGGTAGCCCCCACACATGAACATAGCCCCCCTGGAGAACCAGGCCTTTCCCACCCCTCAGCCTACAAATCAGCCTAAGTGTTTTGCCAAAAAACCTAAGTGTCTATGCTGTAGTACTGGGCTCGCTGTGGCCGAGTGGCAAAGGCGATGGAATGGGGAGTCATTGAGGTCCTCCCACGCAGGTTCGAATCCTGCCCACAGCACTTAGAATTATTTTCACATTTGCTTGGAGCACCAGGCCTGTGATGGCTCTATTTCAAGCCGTACTTCAGGGCTTTTTTCGGGGTTAAAACCTCCGAGGACCCCCCCTGGGTCTCAGGCTTTCCAGTGCTGCATTTATGTCCGGATTTCTAAGCTTTTTTCGGGGATAGAACCTCCACAGAATCCCCTCGGTTCTGGGACCCGCATGGCCCTATTTTAAGCCGGATTTAAGGGCTTTTTTCGGGGTTAAAACCTCAGAGGACCCCCCTGGGTCTCAGGCTTTCCAGTGCTGCATTTATGTCCGGATTTCTGTCCGGATTTCTAAGCTTTTTTCGGGGATAGAACCTCCACAGAATCCCCTCGGTTCTGGGACCCGCATGGCCCTATTTTAAGCCGGATTTAAGGGCTTTTTTTGGGGTTAAAACCTCCGAGGACCCCCCTGGGTCTCTGGCTTTCCAGTGCTGCATTTATGTCCGGATTTCTAAGCTTTTTTCGGGGATAGAACCTCCACAGAATCCCCCCGGTTCTGGGACCCGCATGGCCCTATTTTAAGCCGGATTTAAGGGCTTTTTTCGGGGTTAAAACCTCCAGGGACTCCCCTTGGTTCTGGGACCTGTCATTGCTCTTTTTCAAGACAAATTTCATGCGCTCTCTCCCGGGGAGAAATGCGCCCACCCTTATTCTTTGAGAATATGTGTGCACTTGTTTTCAACTCCTGGTGGGTTCCATAACCTGAGATTCCACTCACGTCATGGGGACTGGTTTTACGTGGTGGGGCCCGAACACCGGACCCCACTGGTCCAAGCTTAATAATCAATGGGTAATGCTTTTCTAACGGTCCTTATGCAGTCTCTGTAAAAATATGGAAAGGACCCCTGGAGGTTTACTTTCCTGAAAAAAGTGTGTTATGTGTCGGAACCCTGGTGGTGGGTTGCGGGATATCAAGGAGGGGCACACTGGGGCAATTTCAGTCCAGCAGGCTGGAGCCAATCATGGAGCAGCACAACAGAGGAAATCAGGTGTCAGGCTAGAAAAAGGTGCAAGTGTGTGGTTCATTAGGCTGCAAGAAATCATGGAGGAGCACACTGAAGCGCACGCTTACAAACCACTGGTAAGTGCTGACTACAAGTCATGACTTCAAATTGTTATATAGAATGATTACAAATTATTTGTTGTTTGTGCAGCTTAGTCAAGAGTCCCTAATTGATGAAGTCGACTCAGATTCTGACGATTTAACTGTCAAGAAGAAACCTGTAAAAAAGTATGGAAAAAGAAAAATCAAAAACACTTTTCTTCAAGACTCGGAAAGTGACGAACCAAAGGCAAATAAGATTGTTATCATGCAGCTGCAAAAGAAGAAAAATGGGGGGCGAGTATACAGCAAGAGACACTTCTGCCTCTACTGTTCAATGTCCTGCCACAAAATGTCCCGTCATTTGACTAGAAAACATGGAAATGAAAGTGACGTAGCCAGAGCATTGGCTCTACCTGTGAAATCTAAAGCACGTAAACTTCAGTTTGATTTGATCAGGAATAGTGGAAACCGTGAGCACAATTTTGAGGTTTTAAAGGCCGGCATTGGAACTTTAGTCCCAGCAAAACAGCCAAATTCCCCAGTTAAATCCAGTGAGTTTTTGCACTGTATAGACTGTGGGGCATTGCTTAAGCGAAAGTCGCTGTGGAGGCATGTGGCCAGGTGCCGGCTTTCACAGAAAGATGCCCAGGCTAAACCAGGTAGAAGTAGGGTCCAGTCCCTCTGCTCCCTAGCCCAGCCTGTACCGGAGGGCATCAGCAAAAAGCTGTGGTCTTTAATTTCGGCAATGCATCAGGATGAGGTCACGGGTGTTGTCAAAGCAGAAAAGGGGATTCTGAGACTCGGAGAGCACCTGTACTTAAAACACACGGGCATGATAAGACAAAGCATGATTACATTAGGCAGAAAATGAGAGAAGTCGGTAGGTTAATTAACGAAGCAAAAACCGCAGGGAAACTGAAAACAATTAAGGATTTCTTTATTCCTTCCAACTTTAACCATGTGATTGATGCAGTCAGGTCTGTGGCTGGATATGATGAGGAAACAAATCAATACAAGACTCCATCCTTGGCCCTCAAACTCGGCCATAGCCTCAGAAAGCTAGCAGATATTCTTGAATGTGACTCAAAAATGGAGCATTGTGTTGATGAACTATTTATTAAAAACCTCCAACGAAGCCGGCTGCTTGTTGAGAAGAGGTGGGACGTCTGTGTTTCTTCTGCTGCCCTACAGACCCTCCGGCAAGCCAAGTGGAACACTCCGGACCTGCTCCCTCTGACTGAGGACGTTAGAGCCATGCATGCACATATTGAGGTATGTCGACCTGAATATGTGCAAACCCTAATAAGTGAGCCAACGTCTAAGCATTGGTCTAAACTGGCAGTTTTGACTCTTTGTGAGGTCATCATTTTCAATCGAAGAAGGGAAGGTGAGGTTTCAAAGATGCCACTGACAGCCTTTACCTTAAGAAGTAAGACTGGGATCCATTCTGACATTGCTCTGGGACTGTCCCAACTTGAGAAAAAGCTGTGTCAGCATTTTCAACGCATTGAAATTAAAGGGAAAAGAAGTCGGAAAGTGCCGGTTCTTTTGACTCCTGAAATGATTGCTTCGATGGAGGTGCTGGTGGAGAACAGAAGGGCCTGTTCCATCTCTGACCATAACCCATACTTCTTTTCCCGCCCGGGCGCAGACACCCACATCAGGGGATCAGACTCCCTACGCCAGGTAGCCAAAGAATGTGGTGCGGTGCATCCAGAGATGCTATCCTCAACCAAACTTAGAAAGCACATAGCTACTATGTCTACAGTTCTCAATATGAAAGAGAATGAGATGGACATACTTGCCAACTTCCTCGGCCATGACATTCGCATCCACAGGCAATATTACAGACTACCAGAGGGGACACTGGAGCTGGCCAAAATCAGCAAAGTGTTGATGGCCATGGAGCAGGGAAGAGTGACGGAATTCGAAGGAAAGAGCCTCGACCAGATACAAATTGAGCCTGAAGGTAATTCTTGATATTATTAAAATATGTATGATTTTTTTCCCCTAAAGGCCACTTGTATTTTTATTTTCTGTGCGACAGGGAGAGCAGTAGAGATCCTCTCACAAACGGACGGGCTAAAAGAAACTTCAAGCGGAGAACCTTCAACCATTCATCCAGATGCACCCCATGGTAGTGGCAGTGCCCCTTCTGGTAAGTGTACCAGGTGGGGGATTACAGCCAGGCTGCTTGGTCCTCACCCTGGGAGTGTATATTGCTAATATATTTTTATTTCTCTCCCTAGAACGTGTAAGAAAGCCATGGTCTGCATCTGAGGTGAAGGCTGTGGAGAAGACCATGACACCTTTCATACAGACTGGAAAGGTCCCTGGGAAGTCTCACTGCCTGGCCTGCATTAATGCCTCACCAGATGACCTTAGACATCGGACATGGAGTGGCATTAAATTCTATGTCAAAAATAGAATCACTGCAATTCGAAAACAAAATCTAAAATAAAATTCCTTTAAAATAGTTGTTTGGTTTCTATTGACTGTTTTGTATTACTTAAAGTCTTGGTAAAAAAAGATTATGTCCATTCTGAACGGCCCTGTCAAAGGGACCCACCAGGTAACAAAAACGTGTATGTGTGTGTGTGTGTGTGTATGTGTGTGTCTGTGTGTGTGAGAATGATTGATGATGGTCTGAGGAGTTGACTTACTATTATTATTATTATTATTATTATTGTTATTATCTATTCCTCATTTACTGACTGTTGTATATTTTTACCCTGAAGGTGACGTCTTGATCCAGATTTCTGAGAGCCAGAGGAGACTCACGTCAGAGCTAGAGGGAATCGTAAGTCAGACTAATCTGTTTGTTGCAACATGTTGATGGTTTTATAGTTTCCCGTTCTCATCTTTGCTTGAAAAGGTTTTCTTGTGATTTGTGGGCGGAGTGGAGCGGATTTCTGAGTGGAGTTTGCATGTTCTCCCCGTGTCTGCGTAGTTTTCCTCAGGGTACTCCGGTTTCCCCTACCATTAAAAATATGTACAATAGGTCTGGCATGATTTTTTGTAATTTTATTAACATACCTGCAAATATCTGTGCAACTGTTTTATCATTATATTATTGTGTTTAACAGAACTGAAACAGGGCCGTGAAAAAGAAGCGCTGTTTTAGATACATTCTTTATGAAAAAGTTAAGATGATACTACAGGGTCTTATAGTTAATATTCAGACATCACCTTTAACCTTAGCAAAATTAAATGGACTTTTGAACAATGTTGTATTGTTCTGTTTTTACCTGTGTACTCTACAGCACTATATATATCAGACCTGGGCAAAGTGCGGCCTGGAGGCCACATCCGGCCTGATTCTATGCAGCCCCCAGACCCTTCAGATGCTCTGTTGTTTATTTAAATAAATCTGGCGCCAATAACCAGTGAAGGCTTGTCACTTAATATGTGCTACCATGTCATACAATTGTTCTGTTCTCATTGATGAATCCAAAAGGCTATTAGTAATAATTTGAAGTAGCATTTTGCTAAATTACCCTGCCGTGTTATTTAGTTTTCTCTTGTCTGCGTCAGTTCCGCTGGTTCCAGGTGGAGGTGTTGCAAGAGATGGACAACAACGTCAGAATGGACATCGATTACATTGCGGTGAGTGACGGGGGTCAACATGAGGGGTCTGCGGTCAAAGCAACAACCTTATTTTACTGCTAACCCGCTTTTTACGACCGGTGCAGCCCGGGAGCTGACGAATGCATTTGGGTCTGTGGCTGTATCCTTATGAACACTGCATTTCTTTCTACCTGCCATTAGAATGAGCTCTTTCCTGCCCACACTGCCGCAGGAAACAAGAGACCAGTCGAGCCTCCATCCCCTCCGCTGTCTGCACTAGTCCTAATTTGGAGCTGACAGCCGCGGCTTTACTGCAAATGACTGTGTTGGAACGTGACCTGAATTTCTGTCTTCCACAGGGCAGCAAGCAGCACTATGAGCTGGAGGTGGGGAGGCAGCCCCGCAGAGCCACAGGACAGGTCGGAAAATGACTTTTAATGAGGCTTTCATATTCCCCAGGGAGGGCTCACAGAGTGGAGATTTGTAAAAGAGGGGCGAATGCAGATTCAGCACTTTCAGTTCATAATGGGACTAAAAACTGAACTGATTGTGACACTTTTCACTAGATATTCTTGTGTTATCATATTAGTTAATTGTTTTAATAAAGCAACACTGTGAAACTTTTGATTTGTAATATGTTAGCGGGTTAATTAAATGGAAATACTGAACAAATACTACTTGTGTTTCATGTTGTAAAGTATTTTTCCATGGGTCTCAGAATGCTGACAAATTTAAATGGTCAACACATAATAAGCCATTATTTTTACAATACTGTGTTTGCAGCTGATAATTTTCAAATTTGGAAAATAAAAAATAATGTAATGCTTCCCTCTAGTGGTAATATAGGAAGTTACAGGTGGAAAGCATTGGTTTTGTTTTTACCATTCATCCCTAATTCAACGTATACTGTATTTTCTCTACAAGATAAAATTTTAAGATTAAAAACAAACTAGTGTCATTATGATTTGAATATTTCCTCTTTAGATGTTTTGTTCATTTGTTCCATGTCTGCCTTGCCTTGCTGTCTTTCATTATAGATTCATTATGGTCATGACCATTATGCAAATATAAATAATACAATATAAATGAAAATTATTTAGAAATAAAGTTTTATCTATTAACACAAGAACTCCCGGTATTCTGACACTTCTTGAACTCCCAGAGCCGTCATTTTGACTGAAACCAGTGGAATTCTGAGACATTACCCCAAAACATGTTGAGTTTTGCACCAGATGTATTGTACTTTACTCAGTTTGAATAAATGCTAAAACTGGTGAATGTAACTGAAATTCAGCAAAAACAGTGCTATAGTAATTGTCTCTTCTCTGTTGGAAAACCAAACTCAGAACCAACTCTGAACCATGCAGCTCTGAACCAGGACCAGCATACGAACCAACAATATAATCGCACTTCCAAAACTATAAATTGTCAGCTCAGTTTTAGTGCCATTAAACATGCAAGAAACTGAACTGAAAGAAATGTTATGTGGTTCTTCTATTCCAGACAATAGTAAGTTAGCGATGTTATTTAAGTGATTGTCTGGAGTTTGTCAGAATGAGAGAGAGGTACTTGATTTGAAAAAAACGACGCAAGCTCCCTCCCCCTTCCTTTCTGATTGGTCTACACCTATGTTTCCGTAACACTTTGAAATGTTAATCAGAGAACACATTATACAAATACATTATTACACATGCACGGAGGTTTTCAGAATTATCTGTTAATGGTTTAATGAAAAAAAGAATGTTTTTATGCACACAAAAAAGCGATCGCGGCAAACCCGGAAGTGCTATTATCATGAATTGCACATTATAGGACACATCTGCAGAGGATCTGATTATGGATATAGGTTCAGAATATACATAAGTACCTCAGCGCGGATGTTCAGAATTCTTTGTTCAGTTTTCATGTAGTTCCAGAGCCTAATAGAGGCTTGATTCGGAGGCTCCGTGAAAACAAACAACTGCGCATTCGTGCAGCTGCGAGCATAAGCGCCAATGATTGACAGCCCTTGGCATGACTCGATTGGTTAACCTCGACGGCACCGTGGATTCTGAGCTATAGCTAAGAGAAGTGAAGGCGGGACTTACCTGTAATATTAGAATTAATAAAATGACTTATTTTATGTCAACATTTAAGACCAGGAGGTCAATTTAACACATTTCCTAAAATGTGTAATTCATTTAGAGTTACAGACTATCACTTTAACTGGAAGTGTTACAACAGTGTTTCAAGGTAATAAAAACATCGATTTAGTTCGATTCAATTAATTTCTATTAAAGTCTTGTAAAGCAATAAATCCCAACAGTAGTAATCTTGTAGGACTTTACAAAACACACAGAACCATTCGTCCATAAGACGAGGCAGATGACCAATGTCCATAAATGTTGATAAATATCCATAAATGTTGGGTGTCCTGGATCATCGCCACTGTCCTTTTGACCCTCCCACATTGTTTACTTATTATTGTCTAGTATAGAAGAACCACATAACCTAAATATACAAAGAAGACAAAATGAACTTGTTCTAATCTTTAAAATAATTCCGGTGTCTTAATCCAAATGATGCTGTGTTGTGAGCAGGACATGGCGGAGATCATGGACTTCCTCAGAGAGAGCCACCACGAGGCGCTGCAGGAGGAAGAGAGACGATACCGATTCTTAGCTGAGAAACACTGCAGCCTCACCCAGTCCTTCACTCACCTCATGAACAAGGTCCTATCTCCCCACTTTACACTGCTCTACTTTTGAAAACATACACTCTCATGTTAAAACTAAGAGGAAGCGGCTCCTGCATCTCAGTCATAATTAGCTGAGATGATCCCCCACAGGGAATAGAGCAGCTTGTAGAACTCGGGTCATTCTCAGAGCAGCGTTTCAAATGCAGACTTCTGACATTTATTTGAACTTTGGCTTTTCCTTACTGGTATCGCACTTTTATTACAAGCTATGAAAGGCATACTGAAGGAAATAAGATCAGACTAGGCGGACTGACCAAGCTTGACTCTAGAGTTGATGGTGTTTTCAGTTCAGATGGAATGCAGGATCCTTTTTAACTTGGGTGAAAAAATTTCATCAGCCAGCTAATTTTAAAGAGACATCCACATATAATATTAATAATAATGAATCTGTTATATATAGTGGTTTTTTTGAACACACTTCACTTACATTATATATACAGTATATGAGTGGTCATAACCAGTAACCATTCACGTACACCAGTCTCATTCCGGGCAATGTGGTTGAAGTGTCTTGCCTAAGGACATTACGATAGTTTGGCACTTTACAGCCGCAGCCGCCCCACTGCGGCACCTGGTGTTCCCAGAGGTCTCCCATCACAGTACTAACCAGACCCTGCCCTGCACAGAAATTGTTGTGGGCATTTGTCTCTCACTCCACACAGAGATGGAAGTGAAGTCACCAATAGACAGACCTATTAAACATGTTTTTAGTGTATAATAAGACCACACAGATTCCACCTCTAGGACCACACAGAAAGGTCCTGGAGGTTTGTCAGAATTTTCTATGGCTTTTATTATAATTATTATTATTACTATTATTTTTTTAAACATCTTTTTACTGTTTTTGTGTGTGGTATAAATACACTTGACTAATTGAATACAAGATTTTATGATACATTTTCTGAGTCTTGTGCAGATGGTAGTTAAGTCCAATGTTTCCCGAACTTTGTTTTAGTTTTGAGTACCTCGTCAGACGGACATCAGACTCTATAAAGCTCTGGCAGCCGGACGCCCTGTTCTGTCGAAGGAACAACCATATCTTTTATGGATAGAAAAAGCATATAGTTTGGCTGACCAGGCAAATGGTCCGCTCAGGTTTCATGTCTGTGGATTTGTGACATCCCTGATCCTAATCTAAAATAAGTGCCAAACTTCAGCCTAAACTCTTTCTGTCTGTTCTTGTCATGATAAAATAACTAAACTATAAACTTACACTTACCGGTGAACCCTCCCTCACCTCTGGTCATGAGCATCTTTTATATTATTATTGTTATTATTCTGACGGATAGTTCTTGTGTCCTGCAGACTGGAGCATCACTGCAGCAGAGAGCAGAGCTGTGGACAGAGGAGGTGAGCGCCACCAGGAGGCAGGAGCCAACAAGACACTCTGTGAGTACTACTACTATTGCTACTAATACTACAACTACTACAATTACTGCTACTACAACTACTACTTTACTGCTACTACTACTACAATTGCTACAACTACTATTACTACTACTACAAGTACTTTACTGCTACTACTACAATTGCTGCTACCACTACAATAATAATACTATAATAATAACATTAATAACACAAATAAAATATATTCTCGTAGTGTGAAATTGTGATAATTTGTCGATGCTGTTTCAATAAGTAAAAGTGAACTATGAACTATGACTCAATACACTTATTATTTTTTTACTCGAAAATAAAGGATTAGTTGTATTAAATTCTTTCTTGCTGCACATTTCTACTCACCGCTTTTTAGCCAGCAGTGAATATGTCATTATTTCTGCTCCACTGCTGCCCCCTGGTGGATGAGGCTGCATTTACAGGCCGAGAGTCAGAAATCCTTATGGAGGAGATTATTGCAGCGTTCCAGATGATGATTTACTCTCGTTTTTCATGCAGTAATTAGAATTTGAGTCAACATCACGGATCCATTCAAAACACAAGAGAAAAGCATGTTTGTCCAGTTAGTGAATATTAGACGCTGTTAGAGCCACTGCCATCACATTTACAGGAGTAGCACTCACATGTATTGTATTCGAAGTGAATAGTTGAATATCTGCCTCTCCAAGATTTCATATTGTTGAAAGATATTAGGAGAAACCACCAATTAAGACGCTAAACTCAGATGCGTATACATTCTTTCTCAATACACAAGGACACATATAAGCCCATGTCTTCATTAACAGATCATTAATGACATTTTCCTCATCATTCAGAATCCTAAATATGTACAAAGATGTTACTGTATTTGTTGCTTGTGAGTCAAACTCATGTAAAATTCATATTGTTCTGGAGGTGACATAAGGCCAAATGATGAAAACTCTCTCTCATAAAGCTACTGAAAACATTCGCCTGCGGGCCTGTGTTTACCTCGTTTTCCATCATTCACCGTGTTGTTGCTGTGTTGGGAATCGGAAAAAAGTGTTTCCTCATTTCTGTGACGCTGCCCATGTGTGAAATTGCTGCCTCTTTGACAAACACTGAGAACTGACCAACTCTACAATGTCAATATGAAGAACTAGTGGAGCCTGTGTACGTGTGTGTGTGTGTGTGTGTGTGTGTGTGTGTGTGTGTGTGTGTGTGTGTATGTGGGCGTGTGTGTGTGTGTGTGTGTGTGGGCGTGTGTGTGTGTGTATCACAGTGCTGAAGTGCTTGTGTGTGTCTCTCACAGGAGGAGGTGCTGAGAGGCCGAGAGGAGCTCGGGAGCATTCCTTCAAGAGGTGACTTAGGTCGTAGTTCACTGAGATGTATGACTATATTTCATATCGAAAGAGACCAAAAAAAAACCCATGAATTCAACCACATTTCTGTTTAATCTCAGATTTATTTTGGTAACATCTATTCAGCGTTTCCATTTTGTGATGTCATCATACAATTTCCTCATATGTTTTAACTTTTCATCACAAAATGTGGATTTACTTGAATAAAGCAGATCTTGTTCCATCCATTTAAGTCAACATGGTAAAGCGATAAAACCTTATTTTTATTTAATAACATATGCATAAACTTTTTGGTTCATGTTGTTTAAGTTAAAGGGAAAATCACAATATTACATCATGTCTATTCCCTTTGCATTTAGCCGCTGCCAGTTTTTGCTGCTGTTGTATTCCTCCTAAATCCTTCATCCACAAATGATTCCCCTTTTCTCAGAGCTGTAATTATGTGGTTAAGTTATCATGCATGAAATAGATAGAAAGCAATTATACAAAACGTTTCACAATAAACAAAAATAGTATTTTTAAAGTAGGCCGGCGTTACTAATGACATTTCCTGTGAGATAAAGACGAGTGAAATGTACAAAAGCAGGATCTACTTTATATTCCCCTAAATAACTCCATGTCTATGTTTTTATGTGAGAGTGAAAACATTAGAATATAAATCACAAGTTAATATTTTTCTCTAATTCAACTTACATGTAGAGTAACAAATGCCTTTGTTTTGGGTTTTTCACAGCTGTGAGCCCATCATCAACATTATAACAAACAAAGGCTTGATACATGTATTGACATGTATTATACAGTAGTTTCACATTGTGTTGAACTAAATCAGTATATTGCTGAGGCTCAATTTTCTTCTGAGTTTCACCAGGAATTTATCATTCTTCTCAGGGACACTTTATTTGAACAGGAATGTCCCACTGAAATCTTTCTTTATGGTGGGTGCTGGCCCCAGACAAGGTAGAGAGGGGTGTTCTGAATCCATTCACAAGCACAATTTTAGGGCTCAACATGGTCTGTAGATGTTAGTATTCATTTAAATCTCAGTATCAATAAGAAAACAAACATGGATTCAAATTACTTTGAGTTTAGCATAAATCACACCAAGACTGGCATCTGTACCAGCTGAAGCAGTGCCACAGTTTGAGAAACATGTCCCAATCTGAGAGTAAGCCGTTGTAATGATTAAAGACATTCATTTGTTTTGCAGCACCGTCTCCAGAGAATCGGACCCGTATGGGCTCCATCTCTGACCTTCAGGGAGGTGGGGGAGGAGGTGGGGGCCGGGCCATGAGGACTCTGGGCTCCCACCAGCCCAGTGCCTCTAACCCCACACTGCTGCCCTTCGGCAGAGGAGAGATCATCAGTGTCCTGGTGCAGCAGCCCCGCAACGGCTGGTTGTACGGGCAGAGCGAGTCCTCTGCACGGTCAGCCATGTTTCACAGATGTACTGTTGTGATGCATACAGTAGTACAGCACAGTCTCCGCATTTTGTCTGCTATTCAATCAACATTCTAGAGCAGGGGTGTCAAACTCATTTTAGTTGGAAACCATTACTACTACAAGGATTACTATTACATGGATTATTTAAGTTATTTTGTGGTTTGAAAGTCAGATACCCCAGCTTTTATCCATCTCACCTATTCAGATCCATATAATATGTACTTGTTTATGCTCAGGTCGGGATGGTTTCCAGCTTCTTATGTGGGATCTCTGGATGATCCTCCACAATCAAGCATGTCAAGGTAGGCCGTATAAGCAAAAATACATAACTTATGAGTTAAATGTGTCTTTTAATTTGAGCTAAATCTTTACTTTTCAAAGAAGCGCTTGTCTGTGTATTGTAAACTACTTGCATGTGGGTGACCTATTGCTGAAGGCAACACCAGTCAACGGAGCCAGACTAGACTTTCAGTGGCGATGACTCACAACGCCTCAAAGTCTTCAATGCAACTTTTTTTTGTTGACATTTTATTTAGAAATTCGTCTTTACAAAGCACCAGCAGTATGTCCAGCCTCCTCAGCCAATCGGGAAGCAGCGCCCACAGCCAAGCCCCGCCCCCGCCGACTCCACCCCCACCCCCACCATCTCTGTCTCAAATGTCCATCAAACAGTCACCGTCTGCAAACATCAGCAAGCCAAAGTCCCCTTCAGAAAGCAAGGTACTTCACAAGGTTTTTACACACGTCTATTTTCCATTGGCCACAGAATTGAGGTATAGAATAAATATATTTCTATGTTTATGAATATGAGTTACATTTATTTGCAGCAGGGAAGTTGTGGCGAAGTGTTGTTCTCAATGACGCCACAGCCCTCTTTTTGGTGGATGCACGGCGGGAGCTCCAGCTGCTGAGGCTCATGGCAAGACCCTGTTTGTAGAATGCAGTGGGATGTGACCATAGACCAGGGGTGCTCACACTTTTTCAGCATGCGAGCTACTTATAAAAGGATCAAGTCAAAATGATCTACCTACTACAAAAATGCAGATCATATATTTCAAAAAATATTCTTTATATCTACAATGTATGTTTATGTACATGCAAAACCGCATGAGCCAATATAGCACAACACAATTACCTATGTACATTTTTTGTCATTACCCGAGTTTACTCTTATGACTTGCACTGAATTGAATCGGCCAGGGAGGCATAGTCCGGAAAATTGGTGGTAACCATGGATGTATTATATTAACTGGATAGGGTATTACTAGCTTGTAGCTGAATAACTCACGTGCTCAGGGGATTCTCGCGGTACTGCAGACTGAACCAGACTAAATTCACGTGGGCCACCCAGAAATTTTCCCCATAGAACTCAATGCATATTAAAACAGCTCAACCTCAGCTGACAGAGAACCTACAGCTTTAATAAAGATCGGATTTTGTGGGGATTTTAGTGTCCCTTGTCATCCTGAACTTTTTTTCTTCTTAAATCCTTCGGTTTTGTTTAAATCCACACTTTAGTGCCACAAACTCTGCTCCTCTGGCTCTCGCTCTAACTCCCGCTCTGATGAACTGCTCTGATTGGTCAGAGCGAGGCCGAGCCCCTCTGTGCACGTGCGTGAGACCCGGTGTGAGACCCACACACGCGTGTTTGGCGCAACGCATTATGGGAGATCATCCACTGCGCAGAACCGGGAGGACCAGACGATGCCCAAATACAGGCGAGTTTCCCATAGATCTTTGCGAGTTTCAGGCAACTTCCGCTAATCTTTCAGCCCCCATGCTGTCACAAAGCGCCACTGAGCACAACCATTCATTTGAATAGGGCGCCATCTTGGATCGCCGGGGCTTGGTGGTAACTCGCTGACAAGTTTGTCGTGGTTTAGCTTTCCTGCACTGAGCGGTTGTTTGCGCATGTGCAGTCACCTAAGTGTCAGTAAAACATTACTGAGTAAAACACACATGTGCAGTCACCTAAGTGTCAGTAAAACATTACTGAGTAAAACACACATGTGCAGTCACCTAAGTGTCAGTAAAACATTACTGAGTAAAACACACATGTGCAGTCTCCTAAGTGTCAGTAAAACATTACTGAGTAAAACACACATGTGCAGTCTCCTAAGTGTCAGTAAAACATTACTGAGTAAAACACACATGTGCAGTCTCCTAAGTGTCAGTAAAACATTACTGAGTAAAACACACATGTGCAGTCTCCTAAGTGTCAGTAAAACATTACTGAGTAAAACACACATGTGCAGTCACCTAAGTGTCAGTAAAACATTACAGAGTAAAACACAGATGTCATTTGACTGTGGTGCCATGTCCATGTGCCATGCCTGGTTTATTTAAATCCAAATATTTCCCCTCCTCAGTTTATAAAATAATTTGCATCCACACATCTGCGTTATCAATCACATACGTAACATTCCAAACATGTGCGTCTCTTACGTCCTGTCCTGCGTTGGGGAAAAACACAGAAGTGGGCGGAGCTTTGATGCAGACGCCGGTAACGGCACTTTTACAGTCATAGAAGATGGCTCTTTACTCAGAGTAAAGACGTATGTTTACAAGCACTGACCCCGTCCTCAGCCCTGATTTAGTCCTGGTTCAGCCCTGGTTTAGCCCTGGTTTAGTCCTGGTTTAGTCCTGGTTTAGTCCTGGTTTAGTCCTGGTTTAGCCCTGGTTTAGCCCTGGTTTAGCCCTGGTTTAGTCCTGGTTTAGCCCTGGTTTAGTCCTGGTTTAGTCCTGGTTTAGCCCTGGTTTAGCCCTGGTTTAGTCCTGGTTTAGTCCTGGTTTGGTTGTTTTCGAGCGTGAGTCCCGGCGATCACTTTGCTGCTCTCTGATGTGGAGCGAGGATGTTTGCTGCTGCGAGCATCTCACAGCGAACAGTTTTTAAGGTAGTATGATCCATGCTTCAGTGATCAGAGGAATTTATGGGGGTACTGTGGCGTGCGAGAACACAAAACTCCGGTTATCTCTGTCTACACACAAATGCATTAACGGAGTTTTCAAAAATCTCCACTTTGCCCGGAGTTTTTTGTATATATTTGTTCAGAATGTGTAATTTTTTCATTTATTTAATGCGATCTACCAATACTACCTTTGCGATCGACTGGTAGATCGCGATCGACGTATTGAGCACCCCTGCCATAGACTGTATACAGATGGACAAAGCTAACCCGCTAGCTCAATGAAACCCAATTGGGAAGTGCTTATAGACAATGGGCCTCATTCACGAATAACTTCGTAAGAAACTTCTCAAATTTCTTCTCAAGTTGTCCTTAAGTAGATTTCTAAGAAGTCCCTACGTGGGATTCATCAACGCACTCGTAAGCCGCTGAATTTTTTGCAGCTGTTCTCTTAGATTGATGAATCCCATTTCCTCGTAAGTACAGCGCGCGTGCCCGGTGCTTCATTAACATAGGTACTTAGCATAAGTAACCGCCCATAAAAGGGACTGCAGGGCCGTGTGCAGACGGCAGAGGAAACAGCAACAGGCCTAAAGCAAAGAGTTACACGGAGAAAAAGAGTCACCCTTTTTTCTTCTTTTGCCAGACTGAGAATAAAGTTATAAAATGTTGACTTAAAATTCGAAATATTATGAGAATAAAGTCGAACTAGCAAAATTATGAGATTAATCTAAGAATATGATGAGATTAATCTCAAAATGTTATGAGCTTAATTTAAAAATATATTATGTATTATTTTAAAGATGAATCTCAAAATGTTTTGAGATTAATCTCAAAATATTTTGGACCCTGGGAGGAGATCCAGCACGGACCAGCGCTGAGACCAATGCAGACCCGAGGAGAGACTGGAGTGACCACAGAAACCAGCGCGGACCTATAGGAGAGACCGCATAGACTGTAGTGACCTGACTGGAGAGACCGGTGCGCAGAGACCAGCGCGGACCGAAGAAAGACCGCATAGACCAGACTTGAGACTCCAGGAGCATGCAGCACGGACCCGTATGGAGAGACCAGTGCAGACCCGTCTAGCCATGGGAGAGACCAGTGTAGACCCGTCTAGATCCATGGGAGAGACCAGTGCAGACCCGTATAGATCCATGGGAGAGACCAGTGCAGACCCGTATAGATCCATGGGAGAGACCAGTGCAGACCCGTATAGATCCATGGGAGAGACCAGTGCAGACCCGTATAGATCCATGGGAGAGACCAGTGCAGACCCGTATAGATCCATGGGAGAGACCAGTGCAGACCCGTATGGATCCATGGGAGAGACCAGTGCAGACCCGTATAGATCCATGGGAGAGACCAGTGTAGACCCGTATGGATCCATGGGAGAGACCAGTGCAGACCCGTATAGATCCTAGGAGAGACCAGCGCAGAGACTCAGCGCGGACCCAGTAACCTCCTGCAGCAGCAGTATATATGCCGTTGTTCTGTGGCCCGTGGATAAAGAAATGCCCCCTATAAATAGGAAGGGGTCACTAATACACGGCAAGATTTCCAATGTATTTGATAAAGCGTTGGCTCATTTCATTTCAAAATGAATTAAAAAGTAGGCCAGATCTGCAGTGAAAAAGGCGGTATATAAATAAAGATTACTAATAAAGATTACTACAAATAAATAAATACATACATCGATATGACGGAATATCACTGGAATGTTGTATTTTTATTAAACTTCACCAAAGAGGACAACCCTGGCGAGTGAACATGTCTGCACTGAATGCGTACGAGTGCTCCTGAGGACTCGTAGGATTTGTACTTGCCCAAGAGAATTCTGGTTACGAGAAAAATTCGTGAATGCCACTTTCTTCGTAAAAACCTCGTAAGTAGGATTTACGTACAAATCTGTTCCTAAGAACCGTTCGTGAATGAGGCCCAATGTTTTTCTCAAACTCTCTCTGGCTCCTATTGACATACACTGACACGTAAACTCCTCTAGCTCAGTAAGCGTCAACCCCAAATATGAGCCATAGGGTTTGACCAATCAGATGCCTTCATTCATGAGGGAAACTCCAGCTCCCCTTAGTAACCATGTTAGCAACACGTTAGTTTGCATCCATCTCTGCTATGGTCTTATGTTTACGGCCATATACTACGGTGTATCAAATTCCCATATAAGGAAATTGGCTCCAGCTAGCTAATCGGCTTATTGGCTAACTTTATTGTGACATCAGCAGTTGTTCAGTCCACTCCTACTATACGGTCTATGGATGTAATGCATGCAGACTGATATGTGTGACTTCACTTTGAGTTGCAGTGTGTGTGTTTGTGCTTCAGGGTGTGTTCTCCAGATGTTGTTCAAATTAAAGTTTAGAAATCAGGCCACTGTTATTGTTAAGTTCTGGGAAACCTAAAAAGAAGAAGAAGAAAACAAAACAACCAATTCCACAAAGGGATATTTCTAATGCATCACAAACAAAATTCAATCGCAAGGCCCGGTGCAGCACGGTGGCGCAGTGGTTTGTGTCCTGGGTTCGATTCCAGTTTGTCTGCTCTGGTTTCCTCCTGGTGCTCCGGTTTCCCCCACCACTAAAAATATGTGCTTATTGTATGGTGACCTCACTCTCATTTCTGTTTGGAGTGAGAGACAAATAAACAAATTACTACACTTAATTACTACAGTATCTACTGGAGTCTGGACCCGCACCACCGTAGTTTCTCTAGCGTCTCATGAACCCCAGGCTTGGATCCTTCTTCTGTTTCAGATTTCATATTCCATGCAACATTTTGGGGACATTTTTCCCTTTAAAATCTATTTAGCTTCAAAATTGTATTAACTTTGGATCAAATTCATGACCACATTCTCCCACCATCAAAGAGAGACCTGGAATCTGTTGGAAAGATCTCCACACTGGCCTGGGATTGTTTCTGGGTTCTCTGGCAGAAAAAGAAATGTGTGGAGAGGAAAGTCTTTTATACAATGTACATTTGAGTATAGCTGTCAATTGTTGTTTCTATAGAATGAAGATAGATGACAAATAAGTAAACATTGCTGTACTTGAAAGGCAGACATTTTGGCCATAATTTGGAGTCTATAATAACATTGTCAAATAAACATGTTTTCAATTTTCAAATGATAATGACAACAGAAACAAGTCAAATGGCCCTGATCAGAAGTCTCCATCCCCCAGTTCTCAATAGTGTATGTTGCCCTTTAACATCTATGACATTTTGGAGTCTTTGTGGTCGTGTTTGCTCTCTGAAGCAGCCCATTCTTCTTGGCCAAAATTACCAGGCTGCCTTGCAAGAACTGCTTATTTGAGATATCCCTAGCTTGGCTCACGATATATTGCTTCACAAAACCAATAACAGTTCAGTTCATCGTTCCTAAGTATAGCCAAAACAATGAAATCCCTCGCTGGGTGTGTGAACCTTCAATCACAACTGTAGAGCGCTATCTAAGATAAGATAAGATATACTTAATACTTTGTTGAATGGAGAAATTCAAGTCTGGCTTTGCCCTCATATTATCTTGAGATTTCTTTATTTAAATATTATTAGCATTGCCATTAGTAGTTTTACCAGATTCACTGAGGTATGAATATTCCATGCATGCTCTTAGATACACCCAAACATATTATGAGGGTTTTTCTCCATCATGCCTTGTTGAAACTTAAGTCCTGACTTTGCAGCCGGCGTATTAACTTTGGGCTGTGTACATACAGATCCACTGCCTCAGCATTCTACACGCCGGATTACGGAGAGACATCTTTAAAACCCGTAGAATCAAGGGGTCAAGGGCTATACTGCCTGATTGCTCCATTACTCACGTCTACAAATCGGTCTTAAATGCACCTCTTTATTTCCACAGGGATCCGACGCACCGCGATATCCCGAGCTCTTCCCCAGGTGAGGAGCATTTGCCGAACATTTCCCGAGGGTATTCCGTGTTCGAAAGCGTATCACATAGACGAGGGCCACGTCTCAACCACACCATTAGCCTCAAGAGCATTTTAGCAGTGAAACCATTTCAGCTTTCCAACCATTTTACGAACCCTGGCTTATTCTCTATCTCTGCTACTCCCTCTTGAGCTACACACTATTAGCCGGAACAGATTGAAACGCATTAGTCAGTCCTTGTGTTGTAGAAACCTGTGCGTTGGAGCGCATTTACCCCACATTGTATCGTAGAAGTCTGCATTTTTTGGTTGTGGCACGAGTGAATTCTCTATTTGGTGTTTTTTGTTCAAAGGGGGACCAACCCGTTCGCAACAGTGAAGCTGAAGCCCACTTCCACCAACGATCGATCAGCACCGCGGGTCAGACGCTGAGCCGAGTACACCTCTTCCACATCGTCTATGAAACCTGCTGTAAATATGGGAGGAATGCACTGCAGAAATACTTGCAAATTTATTCTTGGGTGTTGTGAAAAAGAGTAATTCTAACTGTGATAACGGATGATTTGGGATCCTGAAGCCTGGAAGATACCTCATGATAAATAATGCAGCTCAGCTTATGAGAGCGCTTAAAAGCAATGATGGGTTTAAATGCATCACACGTTTTACAGTCTGTGGTCCAAAACTCCCTGGATCAAGTTGACTCCAAGAACTCAAAGCTTATCTAACTTTTTGTACCTCATATGAATGCATGTTTTTTAACGCTTAATACCCAACAGATGCCCAGCAGATATAGAGTAAAATGGTGTGAACAAATTATACCAGAATACTCTGCTTTGATCTTATTAGTAAATATATACCACTCTCTAGACTATAAGGCACACCTGTATATGCCACACGGCCTTTGAAAAAGAAGATTTTGTCAACTATAAAAGCCACACTTGAATGCATTCTGCAGGTTTACCTGTTGTAATGCAGCATTATTGACTCTTTTATTTGGTCACGTTATGATTTAATGATGCGGTTTTTAGCAGCCTAACTGTTTGCCTAACCTTGTTGTGATGAACAAGTGTCCTATAGGTGTCAAAATAATTTGTCCATAAACTTGTGGCAAAGAGCCCTGTGAGTCACTAGATGACGCTTTGGGCTGGGAGCTGGATAGTTTAGTGAGGTGTAACTGTGGACCTCTCTCATTTTACGTTTCTGTCTGAAAAAGCTGATCTAAAACAATGGCTCACCGCCTTTCTTACCCTGCATACGCCCTCGCCAGAGAGAGTATGTGTACCTCCTGTTAATGAGAATAGAAATGGAAAATAAAATTAAAATCTTGCCTTTCCCCCAGAGGTGTCAGACTCATTTTGATCAAGGGCTATGTTGATAAGAGGCTACAACTAGCTGCTTCTTTATAGAATGTTTGTTTTTCAGCCAATTTTTTGTATCTGATTTTGTATTTCTGCATAGAATTATGGTGGTATTCAGATAAATAAAGTATTGCCTTTATTTTGATCGAGTTTTATGTATTTTTTTTCTTATCTGAATGAATACATGGTGGACTGAACAAAAATCTGGAGAGACTACAAGAGCTTACAAGATGCATTAAATGATTTATTGATTGCAAGTTTGTTAGTAGTTTGGTGCATAGGCCTCGGCTGTGGCCTTGCTCTGTGAGGACTGATGCTTGAGTGCAGATTATGATCCTGGGCCTAACACTGGTGGTGGCAACAGGGCAAGGTGGATGTAAGCATGCGATGAAATCCTGAGTTGGAGCTGGGGAGGAGGTGGCTGCGGCTCGAAAGGCGTTTTGGTGAGTGATGTCCTGCTTTTAAGCACGGCTGGCAGGGAGTTGACGATATTCATGTGATTGGCTGAGGAAGGATGAGTTTATACTAAAATACATTATGCCGTTGTTTTCTCAACATACATATTCATAGCATAACATTTCATGGAAACCCAAACTGTGTACTTCCAGTTCTGATCTCATGATGTGATCGAGGCCAAAATGACGTGCATGTGAAAAGGAGTGATAGACCCATTTATTTTTTTACATATCATGTTTTGTGTTGTAGAAAAAGTTGGGTAACCCAGCTTTTATTAATTTTGGTTCCTAATTTCCACTACTTCAGCTGTAGGTGTATGCCTGTTATTGTGTATAAATGTTTTGTTTATAGCCTCAAAAATTGTCCAATTCCTTTAGTTTTATTTTCAAATAAAATCATGTTTCTTTAAGCAGTAATGTATTTATCCATAAAACATGAAGCTTTTCTCAGTTATGCCCTGTTCAAACTTGTCCAAAGGCCTGAGGTTATATTTTTCTACATTTCCCATTAAAATCATGTAGCTATCAGCACTTTTTTTCTAGACAAAATACATTCACCTTTGTACTGTGTAAGAAACGACTTTATTGTGCAATAACAGTTTTAAATGTGATTCTTTGCGCCTAGTTCAACATGTTTACTAACTTTACTCAGGTAACAGCAGATCTTGTTGTCTATGATTTGTACATACTTGTGTTCATCTGCAAATTTGAACCAACTACTGTAAATGTACATAACAATGATTCATGATGTGCTACTATTAATCATTGATACATGTTTGTTTGTTTTTAGCAGATTTTAAAACCCTTTTTTTCCAATTCAGTCAGTAAAAGAGAAGGATTTAACACTGCACCTGCCCTTTCACAATTTTTGTATAATAAAAACTTCCTATGACAAGAATCCACTAAGCTGCTGTGTCAAATGTACACTGTAAAAAGTGATGAAAAATAAGTAAAAATTGCTGAAATTTGGCATAATACATCTTAATTTGAGCACATTCTAAACAAGATTTTCCATTGGGACAAGTAAAAGGATCTTGTTTTTAAAAGCTACAAGATATGTCTCCCTTGGAATGAGAAAATGAAGCAAAAGTTCTTGAAATAAGAGTAAATGGCTTGTCCCAATGGTAAATCCTATCCTAAGACAGTCAGACTCTACTCAAATCAAGATAAAACCACTCGATTCAAGCAAATATTACCTCAAATTGTATCATTTTTTGCAGTGTATCAGGCTCAGAACTATCAGTGAGTGAGTGGAAGGTGGCTGAGCTTAAATCCGTGTGCTCTGAGGCTGCAAATGGCCCAGTAAAGACGCTCTCGGTTACTCCCGCGCTGCTGCCTCTCCATCGGGGATACTTAGCCCAAATTGAACCCCAGTGTGAATCCAATTCTGCTAATGACTCCATGATACCACATACAATCTTGTTGGAACCTTCACCAAAAAGAGGCTTGACAGGGGCAAAGAAGAGGGATGGCCATTTGTTATGTGAAAAAGCATAATTTTAATCGTGCATTTGGATCAATGTCATTCAAAATATCAAATCGTGAAACATATCGCCTGAACTAGACTGAGAGCGGAACTTAAAATACCATAATGCTTTTGTTGAATGTTTTGCAATAGGTTTGCAGTAGGGTCCAAGGACATTTATGGACATTTATTAACATTTATGGACATTGGTCATGCCTCCTATGGACCAATGGCTTCTATGTGTTTGTTATTATTGCATTTCCTTTGTTCAAAATCTTTGATTCTCTGATTTGTTGATGAGGAATCAACAACATTGTAAAGTCCTCCGAGATGACTGCTGTTGTGATTAAGGTCACAAATATATAGCTCAAAGAACCAAATAGGGAAGAACTCATGGACAAAGTGTTGCTCCATCTCGCTCTGGTCCACAAGTCTTCTCTAGCTCACTATTTATGTCAACCTCATCATTTTGGGATAAATCTGTGGTTTAGCATTTTCTATGATCCTAGTGCTTATATTGTGATATTGTCAATCCAGACGTAAGCAAAATACGGATTCACCAATCAAAGGCCTTCATTCATGGCGGAAACGCAACACATCTACCCTTGTTATGGCACGAAACAAACACAGCGAATGAAGTGCCCAAATAAGGAAATTGGCTGTTGCTAGCTTTTGTTCACATCGGCTTCTTCCACATTCGTAAAACTCTAATCTGTGAGTGAGTGGTACAACTAACCCTAACCCTAACACCATCTATTGTTTTGACCTGCTTCCCTAAGTTCCTTATATTTTTTATTGAACAGCACCTTAGTTACTTATATAATTTGTTCAGTTCCAAAAGTGATGAAAGACAAGCCAAAAATTGCACAAATTTGGCAAAATGTATCTTGATTTAAGCACAGTTCTTGAAATAACACTAAATGGCTTGTCTCATTGGTAAATCGTGTTTTAGGACAGTCAGAATGTACTCAAATTAAGATAAAAACCACTTAAATCAAGCATTTATTTCCTCATATTTTATCATTTTTTGCAGTGTAGCAGCACCCACATCCTCTGCTCTTTAAATCTGACAAATACTTTTAGAAAGAAGTCAAAACATCTCAAAAAACTGTATTTTAATGATTATCCAGCTCTAGACCCTGGTGGCCTCTCTCATTCATACATATTTCTGTGTGTGTCCTCTCTTTCTCTCTCTCTCTCTCTCTCAAAACATCTCATCCCCCTGTTTCTTTACATTCACCACCTGAAAAGAATTGAGAGACGAGCCACGTTCGAGGATTTGTTTTTTCCGTTTATTGTATTTGTTCACAGCTTGACCTCTTTCTTCTTTTGGTTTTATTTTTTTTTACAACAGCCCATTACCAGAGCAGAGAGGGAGAGATGGATGGAGTCATGGATGAAGGGACAGAAGAGAGGGGGAGACACAGAACCCAAAGAAAGTGAAGAAGAGGCTAAGAAAACGTGACAGAGCTGGGACTTTCTTTGACTTGCCTTTAGCGACTATCGGTGCTCTAACTTGTGTGGAACAGAACATGCTGTATCAAAAGGATGGCATGAATAGTGATGAGGGCAGGGACTAGTTTTTACTATAGTGCTCGAGCGGTAAGGAAAGAGCCAGGTGCATTGTGGGAGAAAGGGGCTGGATGGGGTCAGAGCACAGTCATCTGTGACCGGAAGAGTTATTCTTTCACAAGAGTGGTGAACTCTGCAAAACAAGAAGAGAAACAACTGTCAGGAAATGCTCTGTCTTCCCAGGAAATGCAGTGTGTATGTAACAGAGTAAAAATACCATAGAGCCAATAGGAAAAATATAATAAAATCTAACTATTCTGGTTTGCGGCTTGCCAACAAAGATTTGTAATTGGACGTAGTTAATATTTCATGAACAAGGCAACTGGCCCAGCATTATAAGCCATAAATAATGCAGTATAGACACTTTAAAGATTCAGGCCCCACAGTGTCTGCTGCTGACAAGACACAATTAAAGCACATTCTCTGACTCCAATGATGTGCTGATGATCCAGGACACTCAACATTCATCAACATTCATGGGCATTTACCAACACTTATTGACATTGGTCATCTGCCCCTAATGGGCCAATGTGTTTTCTTCTTTTTTTCATGTGTTTGAACTGTTTGATTCTCTGATATGTTTTGGGGAATTCCACGGTTTTGTAAAGTCCTCCGAAATAGCTACTGTTGTGATTTAGGGCTATACAAGAACAAAGTGAATTGAATGATAAATATATTATGATACACATCTAATAAAAATAGTTTGCAGACAAAGGAAATGTTGTAGCTATTTTGAGACAATATTCCATACGTACTTGGTATTCAAACAGTGGAGCATGTTCTTATGGTAGACTTCTAATGTTAAAGCTTTTTCATCCCACACTTATCCAGGTCCATGTGGTTGTTGCAGAGCCAAGATACAGGCCAAGGAATTTTATTTTCTATTTTACATGTGGAATCCTTACAAGTTGGGATTCTGCACAAAGAAAACCTTCACATTTTGTCTTTCTAAGCCCGGATCAGATTTGACCACAATCTCGGATAATGTAGTGCAGGGGTGTCAAACTCATTTTCGTTGGGGCCAAATTCAAAAACATAAGAGCTGGTTGAAGCCAGAAGTATAAAAGTGGTATAAATGATTTCACTGTATTTTACATGAGTTTGGATATTATCTAGCAAGTTTTGATCCAACCACAACTGGGCCAAATATCAATAAAAGATGCATTAAAAGACTGCTAATTAACTATTACTTCTAATTACATGTTAGTTAATGTTTAGAACAGATACAATTATATGGTTGTTTTCGTGTGACAATAGGCTTTAAAATGAAGTATAACGCCTCAGTAGCTCCTCACCATCAATGCTTTAAAGAGCGACTAAACACCTGTGACCAGCCTTACTCCGCCCACATGAACATTTGATAATTTTCTCTTAACCCTTGTATTATGTTAAGGGTCAATTTGACCCATTTCAGTTTTTGTGTTGATCAAAGTACTTGTTATCCTTTATTTTTCTTGCTGAAATTTGGTGACTTTTCCTCATCTAGGGTCATGAACTGGTGTGTAAAATCTGGACACTTTGATGTGTAGTGGAATGTCTGTGCAGAGTTTGTATACAAAGATGATGTTGCGGGTCATTTTGACCCAGACGCTTTAATGTGGGTAAATAGTTGTTCAGATCCAAAAAAACATGTCTCTTTGACATTGTATTTTGATTGCCTCTGAGAGTCAGGTGAGTCTCTGAGAGCCAGGTGTGTGAAGAGAGGGAACTTTCCCACACTTGTCCTTGTCACTGTTCTCATGTCATCTCTTTTGCCTAGTGTACATCGTACTGGCAACTGATTATATCCGTCGCCTATGAGTTGCTGCCCCGCACACATCGACAATCTGGCGAAAACGAGCCGCTCCTGTATCAGGCCAGTCTCGGGAATAACAGCACGTACATCGACAGCAACTGGCCTCAACTACAGTGTGTTTTCTGACATAAACTGTAGAGGGCGCAATACACGCAATACACACATGTTGTTGGAGCGCGCCACGGAGCGCGCACATCAGGTGATATCTCTGGATCTACAACTTTGGAGGACAACTAGTTGCCAAAAAGTAGAACACGGGCAACTGACTGAATCCAGAGATCGACTGTTTATCTCCAGTTGTAAGAGCGCTCACATCTGATAACAACTGATCATCTCCATCATCTACTCTCAGTTTCCAAAAGCCGCCTTGCAACTAGTTGTCTCCAGTTACTCTGTCGATGTGTGCTAGGCTTTAGACAAACTCACCAAAAATGAGCTCCAGAAGGATGACATCTGAGGAGGCTTTATCACAGATTTTTAACTGGGATAATGATGTAGAGGAAGAGATTTCAGAAACAGAGGATTTTTCAGATACAGAGAACAATGTTATTGCTGATCCAGATTGTCAATTTTCCTACAATAAGGAGGATTCAGAGGACGAATCTTTGGTCAAATAAAGAGGAAGGGAGGAAGGAAGGAAGGTAGGAAGGAAAGAAGGGAGAAAGGAAGGAAGGAAGGAAGAGAAAAGAAGGGAATAGAGGAGGATGAACAGAGAGAAGGAAAACAGGATGAGAAAAAGGAAGGAGAAAGCATGGCAGGAGGAAAGAGGGAGGGAAGAATTGTCATTTTGACCCGAGAGGAGGACAAGAAGATTAGACTAAATATTTCTTAAATATAGCGTTGGAATTAAAAATGCATTGTATGTCACTTTTCTAAATATTTATATAAAGTTGTTATTGTTTTAACCTGTTTTCTTGACTGTTTTGAGTGCATTTACACAGTACGGGTCAAAATGACCCGCAACATAATCAATGTCATTTTTTTTCAACATAATACAAGGGTTAAAAGGGCGTTGCCTGGAGGACCAAGGGACAAGAAGGTGAGTTTAGAGTTGGGCGTGGTCTGGGCTGTAATTGAGAGCTCACTTGTCACAAAAAAAAAAAAAAAAATTGCTGCTTAAAGCAATAGTTTACAAACCAGAAAGTCTCATTCCACACCTGAACCTAATCCACAGAATTATCTCACCAGCAGTGGCTGTCAACTCATGTAATTTAATTTTAATCCACCAGATGTCACCAGAATACACCAACCTGCTTGTGTGTGAGAGTTGAATGGCTTTATATCACTGGCGCAGACAGACGCACGTCACACATACAAACTGACATCACAAAGTATTACAGAGTCAATGGAGAGGCCAGGACCAAATTCAAATGTAGTACCACCGAAAAGGTTGAGAGGGCGCCAAACAGACGTTTTTAGGCTCAAACGTGAGATTTTATCTAATTTGCACTAAAATGTCACAAATGACCAGGATATGTAGAAAGCACTACAATAAACATATTTATGCAGTTTATGAGTTAAAAAAAGGGAATTTGATTAAGGGAAAAGTCATTCCAGGGGCTACTAACAATGGGCCTGAGTTTGACACGCCTGATGTAGAGTTAGGGTTTGAATTGGATCACTAGTGTCAAGCTGTTTTTTTTTAAATATTTATCAACACTTATGGACATTGGTCAAGTCCCCCCTAAATGGACCAATAGATATGTTCTCTATTCTTGGTGTTTGAACTGTTTGATTTTCTGATCCGTGTTGGCAAACTCAACGGTTGCGTACAGTCCTCAGAGATAACTACTGTTGAAGGCGGCACGGTGCCTGGCACGGTGGCTGAGTGGATAGCACTCTTGCCTCTCAACAAGAAAGTCCTGGGTTCGAATCCCAGTTGGACCAGGGCCTCTCTGAGTGGAGTTTGTGGAGCTTGTGGTTTCCCCCTACCACTAAAAACATGTACAATTGGTCTGGCATGTGCCTCCGGTACTGGCGACCCCGCTCCCTCTCTCTGTGGAGTGAGAGGACAAATGCCCAAATAATAACAATTGTAAACCGCTTTGTGACTCTGGTCCGTGAAAGCCGGTATATGAAAAAAGATTACTTACAAGATTTCTTACTTGTGATTTAGAGCTATTGAACTAAATCACAAACTGACACCACAGTCATAAACGTATCATTCTTCAACAGTGGCAAGATGACACACTAAATTTCATACGGTTTGACATTAGGGAGTGGACCGAGAGTGGACCATGGTTTTATTGTCATGAACAGTCCTTTTCAAGTGATGAGAGAGAGTGTTGCGTCTGTGCAGATGTGATGACTGCATGAACCTTAGAGAGCGGTGAGTACTGCTCTGGCCCTTTACCTTCCACTCCTATCTTCCCGTCTCCGTCCTTGTCGGCCGCTCTTAGAAATGCTGTGGTTTCTTTGTCTGTCAGGTCTCTGCCGTCTTTGGAGAAACCCTTCAACACGAATCTGAAGCACACACACAGTACAGTATATAAGAGAATGTTATATATAATTTTTTTTTTGAAATGATAAAATGTTTTTGAATAACAAATGAACGCATTATATTTGTACTCGCTAGTTAGTGTCTGCAGTGTCAAATGTGCCATTTAATGTCAAATCAAGGTTCAAGACTGGTTGGACTCACAGGCGACCACATACATGGAAGAGAAAGATGGAATACAATACAATATACATCAATAAATTAAGATTTTTTTCTCTGGGTTTCAGAAGGTGGCATCTAAAGAAGAGAAGGATTCAGAGAAGGATTCAGAGAATACAAGAACCGTGGCAAAAACATAAGGACAAAGACGATGGACCAGCAATGAATGCGGATGAGCACAGGGTACATGTAGACACACAGAGAGACACACAGACACACACAGAGAGACACACAGACACACACAGAGAGACACACAGACACACACACAGAGACACACAAAGAGAGACACAGAGAGACACAGAGAGACACACACAGAGAGACGCACAGAGAGACACACAGACATACACAGAGAGACACACAGAGAGACACACAGAGAGACACAGAGAGACACACAGAGAGACACACAGAGAGACACACAGAGAGACACACAGAGAGACACAGAGAGACACAGAGAGACACACACAGAGAGACACACAGAGAGACACACAGAGAGACACAAAGAGAGACACACACAGAGAAACACATAGAGAGACACACAGAGTGATACACAGAGATAACACAGAGTGACACACAGAGAGACACACACAGAGAGATACACAGAGAGACACAGAGAGACACACACAGAGTGAAACACAGAATGACACACAGAGAGAGACACAGAGAGACACATAGAGAGATACACAGAGAGAGACACAGAGAGACACACAGAGTGACACACAAAGTCACTCTCAGAGAGACACACAGAGTGATACACAGAGAGACACATAGAGAGATACACAGAGACACACAGAGAGACACACAGAGTGACACACAAAGTGACACTCAGAGAGACACTCAGAGAGACACTCAGAGAGACACACAGAGACACACACAGAGACACAGGTGAAACACATTAGGTCGGTGGCAGACGGTCAACACAGGAAGAGGAAAAAGCAAAACTGATGAAACCACGTACCAAATGAACGTGACTGAATTTTTAAACACGTGTTTACCGAGCTGTGTGATTTTATGTTTTAATGGTGTTTTTAGTGTTTGTTTTCAGTGAAGATTTGTGCCTTGTCCGATGTGGACTGTGAAGCGCTTTGTGTTCCCCAGTGCTCTACAAATAAAGATTGATCGATTGATTGACCATGTTTTGTCCTTTCAACTTATGATGACAACAGATGACAGCCTGAGTCCTGTCAGGGTACACAGCTTGTCTGTCTGTCAAAGTGGACAGGAGCCTTCCCAAGGTTTTTTCCCACTGTTTTTTATTCCTTTTGAATGGTGAACATCTGGGACATCCATGGACATTGGTCATACCACCCCAAACTGTTTCTCTGATCTGTTGTCGGTGAATTCCAAGTCCTCCAAGTTGACTTCTGTTCAGATTCAGGGCTATACAAACATATATTGAAGAGAATTTTAATTGAATTGAATGACCCTGATCATTAAGTCTCTCTACCCCAGTTTTTAATAGATATTTCCCCTTTAACTTATATGACAGATTGGGGTCTTTTGTGGTAGTTGTGGAGAAGGTTCTTTGTCATCTCCAATGGTAAAGCTGCCCATTCTACATATCTGAGATTGGCTCTATTATTGAAAATAGAAAACAGTTTGACAATATATGGCTCCACACAACCACTGAGGATGAGTGCAAATAAATAAGAAATCTCTTTCTGGGCGTATATACTTTCAATCACAACTGTACAGTAAAGTTTTGCAGTCACTTTGCACTGCTTTGACTTGGATGGATATGATACAAGCTTCCTACTTGAGCTCCTCCTCCTCGATGAAGCCGCTGTTATCCGCATCCAGCACCGTGAACACCTTCTTCACGTCGTCCGCAGACCTGGACTTCAGGCCGACCATCTCGAAGAACTTCTTGACGTCAAAGGAATCGGCCACTGGTTCCAGAACACAACAGAGAGAGAGAGAGAGACCCAAGCATGAGGTGAAGACACAGAGAAGTGTTCTTAAACTAGCTTTGCTCCGATGAAAGTAGATGAGGCCTACGGCGGTCTGCGTTAATTGGAGGAAGTCGGCCTTGTTCGGCGTGACAGATTTTCCCTCTCTGAGAACATGTGATGGCCAGAGGAGGAGACGCACTCACAACCTCATTCTCTGCACGCTTCTCCAACGCAGAGAGAAACAGGCTCTTGAGAATGGAAAGCAGAGATTGCACACTCAATGTTGAACCACCTCAGGGACACCCGTTTGGGAAAGTCATACGAGTCAGAAGGTGTCGAGGCCAGAAGGAAGTTATTAGCGCACTTGATCTATCTGCCTATCTATCTATACTGTATACTATATAAATGGTTCTCAACTGTTGGTTGCAAGCATTTCCTGGGCAACATTTCTATAATATGTACAGTAAGTACCGTATCTGACATGTCACACCGTCTCGTGTCTCCTCTCACGAAGAAGGAAATCTACCCCAGACACATGTGACATAATCAAGCATAATTAGCTTCTTTACAGTTTCTGTCATAAAGTTTTTTTCTGGCACTTTGGTGCATTTCTCACTTCACTATTAACATTTGCACTGCAGTTAGTGCATTTCTCAGAACAACTAGTACAAACTAAAAAAACCTAGTGGATAAACTGCAAAAGTGCGTCACTTGCTCAAAATGTTTAGTTGATTCCTCAAAAGGAAGTATTCATGACAATAAAACTGTCTGTGTCATCAAAATAACAAGTCCTGACACCAGCGTTTGTCAAATGGCTTCGTCATGTTTTCATTGTGACACTTTACTCTCTGTGTTTTCCAAAGCAAAACAGTCAGATCTTGGTGACACTACTTGAAAATGTTTAAGACAGGAGTATACACTAGAGCCATTTAAAAACTACAGTAAAGTTACACATATTTAGTGAGGTAACTGAGTACAAGACACATTTACTGCATTTGCCCTTTGGAATTCAGCATTGCTACAGCATTGGGCAAAAAAATTACACAATTTCTTATGTATGCAGAACTAACATAAGAAATAACTTTATGGTAGAACGGTGCACAAATGTAAACACTATAAAAGTACATGTTACTGTAAACTGAACGTACATTATTTCTGGTCTGCCACGCCTTCGTGTCTGTCTGGCCACATACTGTATTTTCATTTACACCACATCAGATGTCTTCCCTTGAAGGCAACACATTTTGAACTTGTTCAACAATTTTGTTTTGACTCAAGCAATGAAATTAGGACTATTAGTTTTATAGGGAAGGACTATTACGCTTCATAAGTTAGTGGTTTCATTTTGACTGACATGACAGAAGCAAATGATAATGTTATAAAACAGTAGAGAATTTTATGAAAGCAAAATCGTTAGTTATTATCATATTGAATGTGGGTTACAGTACCATTTCAGCAGAGAACCACTCATCCTTACTTTCTGGAATCAAGAGCAAAATCCTGATATGTTGCTGTTTTATAACATCCAGTAATATGTTGTCGTGTAGATGAAAGCACAATACAGATCAAATGTATTATAGTATTCTTATTCTTTATGGATCAAAGAGAGTAAAATGCACCTGCAAATGCATCGAGGGCCTTCTTGATGTCTTCACTGTTGAGGATGCCGCTCATTGCCATTTTAGCTGCTGCAGAAAAGAGACAGAGGGACATGGAGGGCAGAAGTGGATCAGGGTGATAGAAGGGGAATGGGGGGGGGGGGGCAGAAGGACACGTGTTGAAATCCAAGTCACACCAGGAGCACTTTTTCTCGACACTTCAGAAGCGAACAGGGGACTCGACCACATGAGGGACCCGTGAGTGACAGAATGAATTAAACAGGACAGGCCAGTGCAAACCTGAGACGGAAGAACAGATGAAGCTTTATTTAGAAATAGAGAAGAGTGTTACAGTAGAAGAACTTTTAAGACAGTCCGAATGTACTCAAATTAAGATAGAAACCAATTGATTCAAGCAATTATTACCTCATATTTTATCATTTTGTTCGGTGTTGATAAAACATGTTGACGATTTGAACAGATCCAAGCAACAAACCTATTCTTTTGCTTTCCCAAAACTACATCAGGAGTCTGTAAGCTGCTAAAACCTCACATTTCAGCCAGTAAGTAAAAAAAAAACGACAAAAACGCAGTTTGGTGGAACAAAGAGAAGTAAAAAGCTATTTCAGTGCATAATTTACTGCACTTTTATTTCTACTGGTAATAGGTCCCTAACAAGAGCCAAGGTCAGAGTCATGTCAGATAGCAAAATGAAACTGAATCAAATATCTCTCTGCAGCACTGAAAATTGTTTTGACTTTTCATTTTAAAGTCCTTGTCCTTGATTTTGACCTCCAGCCTCGCTTCCTTCATTCTTTCCCCTTTTTAAATAAACAGTATTCGCATGAGTCAAGTGCAGAGGACTGAGACTGTGCTGAGATCGACTCTGTCTGAGGTGAGGGACAAAGCAACAAGTGACAGTTCAATTAGAGGTGGGCAAACAGGATAGAGATGACAAGACGGAGCCCCGGTGATAAGGCGAGACTTTTTGAATGAGGAAAAGGAATGAAATGCATGGCGTGTGGAGTCGTAGAGCAAACAAGCATTGGTCAGAAGACGTGCAATGTAAATATGGAAGGGAGAAACTGACTACTATTGCACTGTGGAAGTCTAGAAGAAGGAGTCAAATAACAGTTATTTTATTATCTGTTATAGTATGTGTTTCGGCTGCTACTGGACACTATCTATATCAGTATCTATCTATATCTATAACTCCAAGTTTGTTTGTCCAAGTTTAATGATAAATCAATATATCAAATATATATATATATATATTTCATACCTTGCACAATTTCTATTTGGATGAAAAACACACGTATACTGTACTTCCAAACCCCTCTCATTCATTCAACACAAAAGACTAACCAAAATCTATCATCTATAGACGGCAGTAAAACACATCAATATACAGGTGAAAATCTGAGAATCACAATATTGCTCAAAAGCTTGTGTATCGTTGTAATTTATCTTAAAATTTGAAGTAAGTTGCCTTCATTTACAAAGCACATTTCACAGACCAAGGTCACACTGATATTTTCCATTCTCTCCACACACAGTGATGACAGAAATTAAACGCATCAAAGCCTCATTACATTCAGACCTATTGTACATGTTTATAGTGGAAGGGGAAAACGGAGCATCCGTAGAAAACCTATGATCGGCATGCAAACTCCAAAACCTCTTTGCTGTGAAGCACAAGAGCTAACCGCTGTGCCTCTGTGCCGCCAAACCGATGTGGGATATAGTCTCATTCCATACAGAGGGACAAATACAGAGCCTTTGTTAATCGTAATGGCAATGATTTGGGGTTACAGTCCCTTTTTTCGAATATTCAATCTTTTTTTTTAAATGTTTTTGCAGTGAACCAATTATCAACATCATAACAAATAAAGACTTGACTTATCGTTTAACAGGTCTGCCATACTGCATATTAGATTCTCATTATAAGCTTGTCGTAAGGGTCTTCACCCCCACCACTGTCAGACTGCACGATACAGTGCCTTGCGAAAGTATTCGGCCCCCTTGAACCTTTCAACATTTCGCCACATTTCAGTCTTCAAACATAAAGATATACAATTTTAATTTTTTGTCATGAATCAACAACAAGTGGGACACAATCGTGAAGTGGAACAAAATTTATTGGATAATTTAAACTTTTTTTAACAAATAAAAAACTGAAAAGTGGGGCGTGCAATATTATTCGGCCCCTTTACTTTCAGTGTAGCAAACTCACTACAGAAGTTCAGTGAGGATCTTTGAATGATCCAATGTTGTCCTAAATGACTGATGATGAAAAATAGAATGCACCTGTGTGTAATCAAGTCTCCGTATAAATGCACCTGCTCTTTGATAGTCTCAGGGTTCTGTTTAAAGCGCAGAGAGAACCATGAAGACAAAGGAACACACCAGGCAGGTCCAAAATACTGTTGTGGAGAAGTTTAAAGCCGGATTTGGATACAAAAAGATTTCCCAAGCTATAAACATCTCAAGGAGCACTGTGCAAGCAATTATATTGAAATGGAAGGAGTATCAGACCACTGCAAATCTACCAAGACCCGGCCGTCCCTCCAAACTTTCATCTCAAACAAGGAGAAGACTGATCAGAGATGCAGCCAAGAGGCCCATGATCGCTCTGGATGAACTGCAGATAACTACAGCTGAGGTGAGAGAGTCTGTCCATAGGACAACAATCAGTCGTGCACTGCACAAATCTGGCCTTTATGGAAGAGTGGCCATTTCTCAAAGATATCCATAAAAAGTCTCTTAAAGTTTGCCACAAGCCACCTGGGAGACACACCAAACATGTGGAAGAAGGTGCTCTGGGCAGATGAAGCCAAAATCAAACTTTTTGGCCACAATGCAAAACGATATGTTTGGCGTAAAAGCAACACAGCTCATCACCCTGAACACATTATCCCCACCTCAGCTGTAGTTATCTGCAGTTCATCCAGAGAGATCATGGGCCTCTTGGCAGCATCTCTGATCAGTCTTCTCCTTGTTTGAGATGAAAGTTTGGAGGGACGGCCGGGTCTTGGTAGATTTGTAGTGGTCTGATACTCCTTCCATTTCAATATAATTGCTTGCACAGTGCTCCTTGAGATGTTTAAAGCTTGGGAAATCTTTTTGTATCCAAATCCGGCTTTAAACTTCTCCACAACAGTATCTCGGACCTGCCTGGTGTGTTCCTTTGTCTTCATGGTTCTCTCTGCGCTTTAAACAGAACCCTGAGACTATCAAAGAGCAGGTGCATTTATACGGAGACTTGATTACACACAGGTGCATTCTATTTATCATCATCAGTCATTTAGGACAACATTGGATCATTCAAAGATCCTCACTGAACTTCTGGAGTGAGTTTGCTGCACTGAAAGTAAAGGGGCCGAATAATATTGCACGCCCCACTTTTCAGTTTTTTATTTGTTAAAAAAGTTTTAATTATCCAACAAATTTCATTCCACTTCACGATTGTGTCCCACTTGTTGTTGATTCATGACAAAAATTTAAAATTTTATATCTTTATGTTTGAAACCTGAAATATGGCGAAATGTTGAAAGGTTCAAGGGGGCCGAATACAGTACTTTTGCAAGGCACTGTAAGTCGCTTAATGACGACCTGGACTAGGACTGCAACTTTGCCATACCATAGAAATAAATCAATCAATCAATCAATCAAAGTTTATTTGTAGAGCGCCTTTCATACACAGGGCAACACAAAGCGCTTCACAGTCCACATCACAAATCATCACATAAAACAAACACCAGAATCACAATTAAAACATTAAAATCACACAAAAGAATAAAACCATTAAAACTTTCAAAATTACACAATAAATTTAAAAAAATAAATAAATGACAGCAGTGCATTAGAAATGGAGATAAAATCCTTCAGTTGTATGCACAGGCAAACAGAACAGTCTTTAACCTGGATTTGAACATTTTGACAGAGTAGACGCCTCCCTCACATTTTCAGGGAGATTGTTCCAGACGACTTGCCAATGTCATTACTGGTTTACTGCCCATTGGAGCGACAGCAGCTGTAAGCATCACAGTGCAATGCTAGGTGCCAAAAACTTCTTGTGGGAGCAACACGGGTGGATTCGACAGCAAGTGCGCTGATGGATATGTTTACTGAGTGGGGATTCCCGCTCGAGAAAAGTGCATGTCATTTTACGGGATAACGCTGCAACTATGAAACAGGCGTGACACCACTGGGAGGTGCGTAGCTTGGGTGTATTGCTCCCTCGTTGCAACTTGTTGTGAACGAAGGCCTGCTGTCCCAGCGAAGTATCAGCGATCTGCCTGCCAAATGTAGACAAGATTGTGGGGACATTTCAAGCCTTCCCAGTTTCATATTCACGTTTGCATGGACATCAACTTCTAATGATGGAAAACTGCCCAACCGCTATTGCAAGATGATGTTTTGTGAAAAAGGAGGTGGAATAGCACTTCGACATGGATAGAGCCTTTTGGGAAGCAAAAAGCCGTAATGAAGCTGCTGCTTGGATGGACCTTCCTTGTGACTTGAAGTTTGACGCGTGGCAGTGCCTGATTGCTGCCAGGTGAAGATTGCCGTGTGGCACCGCAACTGAGTGGGATTGACGGATGATGTTGCCGTGAAGCGTGAAGGACTTTGAGTGCTGTGAGCTTAGTGCTTCCTGTCTTCGAGTCAAAATTTCCGCTTTAGCTTCATTTGAACTTAAATTAAGCAGTAAAACCATTGTAATCATTGACCACCTCAGACTATGAATCTACTTTGCAAATCATCATTGTCGCACCTTGATTTCCCCAGATGCCACATTGTCATATTTCTCCATCCGATCGACATTTTTAAGGTGTTAGAAAGTACTCTTTTAGTGAAACGCACTGGCAGCTTGACTGAAGAGGCAGCAACAACAGAACACTCCACTGTCGGACTGTATTCTGCACGGCTTCTTGTCTTCACCTCCTCATCCTCGCTCCTCACATTTTCTTTCAGACATCCCATTCCTGCAGCTCGCCCTCCCAACCTCCGCTGACAATAGAGGATCGACACACAGAGCCGCTGACATTTCCCAGTCTGCCGCAAGCAATCTGTCACTCTAAC